TAAAAAGATTCTTAATAAAAAGTATTATTTAAAATATAAAGAAAAGGCTATTAAAGATAAACTAATTAATTTCTAAGTAAAATCTACTTATATTTATAATATAATAAATACTTAATTTACTAAACTTACTTATTTAAGGTATTAATATTATTAAATAAAGGTAAAGGGCTTAAATATAATTTATTATAATCTTAGCTTTATAAATAAGTTAAAAAAGGCAGAATATAATAAATAAGCTACTCTAGAAGGTATTATAATTAATAAGTCCTTTTAGAATTAATTTACTATTATTAAGTAGTTTAAATAGGATTTATTAGGCCTTAATACTTTCCTTAATTCCTCTAGTTTTAGTAAAAATTCTTTAGGAGTTATTAGGTATTAATAAGGTATTTTAATAATTCTTATATATTTTTATTTTCTAAGTCGTTCTTCTATTTAATAAGGTATTTTATTTATTTATTAGTTTTCCTTATATTTATAATTACCTTTACTTTATAAACTTTTAGTCTTTTAATTTCTTTTAGTTTATTATTAGTTTTAACTTATATTATATTAGCTACTAATTTATATAATATAATATAAAAGATTAAATAGAGTTTAATTTTTAATAATAGGTTTAGTTTATAGTTATTTTCTAAAATCCTTTATTTAACTTTATAAGGTTTAATATACTTATAATCTAATTTATAACTTAGTTATTTTATTATAATGTTTTTTATAGCTAGGTAAATTATATATTTCTTTAAGAAGGTTAGTCTTTTAATTCTTTTTATATTATAGTATTTTTTTATTTATTTTTAAATAAATTCTAATTTTCTCTTTAATTCTTTATATAAGGCTTTTAAATCCTTACTTCTAATTATAATAGCTAGGTTAACTGTTTTTAGTTCTTATAGTATATAATATAGGTTTAAGTTAAATTTAAAATTAGCTATTAATAATATTATCTTAATGCTTTTATTATATACTATATTATAAGCAAGTTAGGCACTTAATAGCTTTTTTACTTAATTATTTTATTTATAGTTAATATAATATTATAGATATTACTTTAATACTTAGTTTATTTATTTAGTCTATCTATTTATTTATAATTTAAAAGCTATTAATAGTTAATAGTTTAGTCTTATATATATTATAAGTACTTACTAGAATTTACTAATAAATATAATTCTTTTATTTATTAAGATTTTATAAGGTAGTTTATATTCTCTAACTATTTTAATATAAAAAATATATACTATTTATTTTATATATATATTTTCTCTATAAGGTATATAATAAGAAAACTTAATAAGTTAATTTACTATAACTAGGATATTATTATAAAAGATTTTAGTTAGGGGTTTTTTTAATAAAGGCAGCTTAGTTATAAAGTCTATTATAATTAAACTTTAAGGTCTTTTTACTACTTCTAATAGTTATAATAACCTATATAATTTATATTATTATAACCTTATTTTTATATATAGGTTATATTATTTAATTATTTTTTTTACTTCTTTTCTTTAGATTTTATATCCTTATTATTATAGCTATTTAAAGGTTTTTATAACTCCTTAATATTTATATAATATATATAAATAAAATTTATAAAGAAAGTTATATACTTTATCTTTTAGGATTTCTTTTATTAATGCTAGTTATATTTATTTTAATATTTATATTAGTTATGTAAACTAATATTTTCCTTTTTAGTTTTTCCTTAAGAGTTATTTTTTTATTTTTAATATATTAGTATTATAATCTAGCTATCTACTAATTGCATTTACTCTTTTATTATTTAATCCTTTTTTATAAATAATTATAAAGTTAAATTTATAAAGGTATTTAATATATTATAGTTATTATTAGTTAAGTTTTTATCTTAAAGTAAAATATAAAATATTTTAATAATTAATATAGACTTTAATTTAATATATACTTTTTATAAGATAGTATTTAAATTCTTTAAAGTAATTAATAATTATTAGGAATTCTTTATTATAAATAAGGTAGTTAAGCTTTACTTTATATAGTTTATAAGAATAAAATATAATTAAGTAAAACTTTCCTTTTTTATTTTATTATTTAATTTATCCTTTTAAAGTAAAATCTAATAAGTTAATCTTTAGTTTTATTTCCTTATTAAAATTAAATATAATTAATATTAGTTTATTAAGGATTACTTATTATAATATTTTAAATACTATTTATATATTTTATTTTTATATAAACTTTTTACTTATTTTTATAAGTTTAATAAGAAAATTAATAATCTTATTAAAATCTTATATAAATTATTAATAATAATTAGTAAATTTTAAAAAGCTTTATACTTCTTTAACTATTATTAATAAGGGCTAATTTATTATTATTAAGATTTTATTTTATTTTATTTTTATTTTATTAAATATAATAATATATCTTAAGAAGTTTATTTTTTTTATATAAAAATAATTATTTTTTAAATTTAACTAATAAATTAGTATTTTATAAGGCTTTTAAAACCTTATAGATATATTCTTTATATTATTCTTTATTATTTAAGAAAATTAAGATATTATTTAAGTACTATATTATAAAGATATTTAAATATTACTAAAGTATATTATTAATTATTTATTAAAATATTATAGGTATATTAATAAGTCTAAATAGTAATATTAAATACTTAAAGAGTTTAAACTTAATTTTAAATATATTCTTTTATTTATCTCTTTCTTTTATATAAATTAAGTTATAAGCTTTTTTAAAGTCTAAAGTAATAAAATTTTATTTACCTTATAAGTAGTCTTTATGTTTTATAATAAGTAAAAGTAAGGTCTTAATTTTAATTATAAAGGTATTTAATTTCTTATAATTTATAATAAGTTATAATTTCTTATTTTTTTTTAAAAATAAATATTACTAGAAATCCTATTAATAATATAAATATTTTAATATTTTCTTTTATTAGTTTTATTTTTAAGTATTTTCTTAATATAATAAGGTTTTTTTTATTAAAGTTATAAATCTTTTAAAATAATAAGTTATTTATTTTAAGTTATATTTTATAGTTTTAATAGCTATATTATAATACCTTTGTTTTAAGTTCTTTTTTAAATAGTTTTTTATAAATATAATATTTTTCTAAAATATTTTTAAGTCTATTTTACTATTCTTTTTCTTAAAGTTACTTTTAATCTTTTAATTATTTATTTAAATTATATAATTAATATTTAAAAAGACCTAAGGTTTATTAATTTTATTATTTCTTACCTTTTATATACTTATACTTTATTTTTATTAAAAATAGTAAATTCTTTATTTTATATATACCTATATTATTTTCTTTAGTTAGGGTTTAAGATCTCTTATTATTTATTATAATTAATTAATTATTACTATTAGGGTTATTAGAAAAAGTAACCTAGCTAGTCCTTTAGTTAATATATAGGTTTTTACTTTATAGCTAGTCTATATTAAGGAAGATATCTACTTCTTTATTTAGAGGAAAGATATTAAAGTTAATTCCTAGCTACTATGAGTTAAGACTCTTTTAGTAAAAGGGGCAACCCTGGTCAGGTCTGGAGGTACCCCGCGCAGCATAACATGGCTAGGAAATAACATGGCATTAACAGGGGCATGGCAGGCGTTAAGTAAAAGGGGATTTTAGTAAAAGGGTTAATTATAATTAGACAGATATTAACGGAACACGGTAAGCAGGAAGTTTAAATTAATAGGTAAATAAAGAAGAAAATAAAGGAGAGAAAAGAAGAAAAAGGAGAGAAAGTTAAAATAAATATAATATATAAGAATATAGATATAAATTAAGGCTCTCTATTTTATTTATTATTCCTAGATTAATAAAAATATATTATCTTATAGTAATAGTACTACCTATTATAGGTCTTAATAGCTTCCATTATAACGCCAATTACCAGGTTATAGTCTGCCGCCTCTGCAGAATATACCTGGTTCTAAAACAAACAAGCTAAAGGAGTTACTTGCAGGCCGAGCCGCACCGGATAAAAGGTGACGAACTGCGACTGATAGTCGAGCGGTTTTTAAGCTATAAACTGCGCCTAGTCGAGGCATTGCAGCAGTAGAGGGCCAATAGAAAAAGGCCATGCCGGCCTATAGAGGGTCTTACTATATACAAAGCCTATATCTACACCTACATAGAAGTCTAATATAACTATTATATATAGCAGGCTAGGAAGATATATAATTATATACCGGTTTACAGGAGGAAGGCCTTAGAGCATATAAACGCTATACCTCTCTAGAGGGCATATAAGCTCTAGATATACTTTACGGCTAAGGGCCTTATTAACTACTTTCTAGTTAAAAAAGACCTATCTCTACTACTAACAGGAGGAGCACTAGCAGGGTCAGGCCTGGCTATGGCATCTATGTTATAAGAGGAAGGAAAGCTATTTAAAGACCTAAAGGCTAATATTATCTAGGCCTTACGCGACCTAGATAAGGAAGCCAAGATTGTATAAGACGTCGAGGCATTACAGGCTAATTGGGTACCCTGGCTTATCTATACCGGGTTCCCTATGCACCTGCAGGGTCTCCGCGATACCGAGATTATATCATTATATGCATTACTATAAAGCAGGGATAATAATGGCAATGGCGGCGGCGATAGTAGTGATGACGATAATAGAGAAGAAGAAGGCAGCGCAGTTAATACGGATATAGATCTAGGGCGCATTCTTGCCGCAGTAGAGAGTATACTTAGAGATATATATAAGTTATATAGTAATAAATTACCTAATTACAAGATAATGCAGTAGTATGCAAAGAGGCTAAGCAATTTCTGCAGCAATAATAGCTATATAAGCAGTATAAAAGCCAGTAAGTTCTAGAGCTTTAAGAACAAATTATCCCTTACTTCCTATTTCTAAATTATAAAATAGCTATTAATATACTATTACTAGGTAGTATATTATAAGGATGGCTATTTTATAAGAGGGGATAAAAGCCATATAGTGCTACAGGATATAATTAAAATAACCCCTTTATAATAACAAGCTATAAAGGACGTTATCGGTATATTGCAGAGGCGAGATAAGGCAGCAAAGGGGAGGGGGATGCCAAGTTATAATAAAAAGGATAGTATAGCTACTAGGGACTATAATAAGCATAATGCCAAGCTAAAGCATACTATCTGCAAATTTTATATCTTACTTATCTGCCAGACTGTCAGAAGCAGGCTATTCTGGTTTACTATCTTAAGCTTCTGTATTATACTTAGCCGGATAAAGGCTCTAATGCGCCAGGTAGATAACAAGCAGCATAAGCAGTGCATATAGCGCAAACTAGGGAACTTTAATAGCAATTTATTAGCACTTACCTAGACTGCCTAGCTTATCCTATTTGACTTTATATGCTTTTAAAAGCAGGATAATAAAGATGGAATCCCTGATTTGCTAGATTAAATATATAAGAAGTACTTTTAGCAGATAGTAGAGATACCTTTTAGATATATACTATAATAGAGGCTATATCTCTTTGCGGCCTCCTGTACTAGTCTTACTAAGTACTAAGCCTGCTAGTCCCTTAATGGGGAAACGGTTAACTATATGGGGATAAAACTATATATAGAACAAGTAATATAGCTAGTCGAGTCTAAGTTCTGCTAGGCATACTTGCTTCTATATAATAAGCTCTTGTTTAGAATAAGGGATATTGCTCTAATTAAGGCATAGAGGCTGTATAATAATCTAGATATAGATAACTATAGCGCTTTATGGTTAATAGATAAGAGGAATCGCGAGATACTGGCAGGGATATATAATGCCCTGCTCTAATAGATTAAAGAAAGGGCAGATTTATAGCAGGTATTTATGCGGCTAGATCTAAATAGTAGGGTTCGCCTCTGCCCTAAGGCAATAGCTATCTATAAGGCGCATATTTAGGAGTTCCTTAAGAGGATACTAGTACCTATCTCAGTTCCTTTAGGCCCTCCATTATACTCCCCAGAACTACTCTCTATTACATATATTAATACAGGTACCCGCTACCAGTTAGTATTTCTATAAGAGAAGATAGTTATAATATATATATAATACAGTAAAAGCCAGGAATAAACCAGGGAGGAGAAGGATAATATTAGGTTCCTACCCCTAGCTATTAGAAACCTCCTCTTAATATATCTCGTATTTATACTGCCGTTATATTAGGCCTTTCTATATTAGAGCAAGCCAGGGGCTTTACTTTTGCCATACCTATAGTTAAAGCTTAATGGCGAGGTCTGGCAGGATAGTATGGTCTTATCCTGCCTCTAGAGGGCATATATGCAGGCAGAGGTGCCCTAGTTCTAGGTAGCATGGTGGCGCCAAGTTGCTGCTTCTATTATAAAGGAGAAGTTTAGTGCTAAAGAGCAGGCTAATTTTAATATAGGTAAGATTGCGGTATCTAAAGAAGTTAAAGATAAAGTAGATCTTATATACCTTACTAGGATAAGCAATTATAGTTTCTAGATATTTAACTATAGCTATACTAGCAGTATGACCTTAACTATAATAAGCTTACTTTACTATGCCTATTAAGTATCTTAAAGCTAGCAGTCTCTATTTCGGATTAATTAAGTGCTCTAGGGTAAGCGGCCCTCTGCTATATTGGATATATAAGCGCAAGGGCTACTTAATACTTATAAGAAGGTATAGTTTTATATAAGGCTAGCTGCTAAAGAAGATGGAATTATTGCAGCTGCCTATAGGCTGCATAATAACCCAGAGCTATAATTGCATTGCCCTGGTTAGCAGGATGCCATGCTAGCAACTATAGGTCTATATATACCTAAGCAGGTTATTATCATTCTTATAACGGGTTTAGGGAAGATATTAGTATTTATAATTAGAGCTATACTAGTAGGAGCTAAAATAACTATCTTAATCCTTTCTACTATAGCCTTATATAGTAATATACTTAGGCGCCTTAATAAAGTTATGCTAAAGCACTATATTTAGTGCCTAGGCTTAAAGAAATTAGCCCTTATTATTATTATATTAGCTAAGGCAGCTTATATAGAGGCGTTCCTAGAGTATGCTAACTAACTGTCTAATCGACAGTATCTAGATCGGATTATAATTAATAAATACTATCTTATAATTATAGCAAGCTATTACCAATAAAGTATATTGCAGCTAGTATAGTATATATAGCAGATTTATATATAGACTATCTAGCTAATAGTAATACTACTACTAATTTATTAAGAGCTTTTCTTTAAGCATAATAAGCTTATATAGCTATATATTATTAAAGAGTTAATAAATTATCCTAATATCTAATATATTATCTAGCAAGAACGTAAGCTAGGCAATCTATATAAGCAGGCAGCTTGTCTTATATAGTCTTACTAGACCTAGATAGACCTATTTAAGAGCAAGCAAGACTAGGTTATTATATACTATCTAATAAAGGATCTTATAGCAGAGCTTGCTAATATATTCGGCTATCTGTCCTATATAGCTAAGTCTGGCATAAAAGAAGAGAAGATAGTAATTATAAAGTAATAGCTAACGGCAGCCGATTTGCCTATTATTATAGCGACATTAGCGCTAGGTCCTGGGTTTAACTACCCTTATATTTAATTAGTCATTTATATTAATACCCTAAGCCTTCTAACGGATTTCTCTTAGAAGTTAGGTAAAGCAGGTTAGGATAGCAAAGTAGCTAAGTTAATTATTTTACTTAATACAGCCTAATAGCCGCAGTTAGGTCAACCTATAGCAGCAGATAAAGAGGCCATATAACTATATCTTTTATAAGAATACTGCTTATATAGGGTCTTAAGCTAATTCCTTAATAGTAAACCTAACTAGCAGTAGTACATAGAGGGCAATAAGCTCTATAGCATTTGTCCTAAGCATTATACGCAATGCTAACCGCCTACCCTAGAGTTTTATCTACTGCAGCCCTTATATAATAAGACTAAAGCCAGATAGGACAGGGATAATGGCAGCACTAACCTTACTGTTAGTAAGATAATCTTTACTAGACTTACTAAGGTGCTTTATTAAGACTAAGTATATAATAAAGAATTAAGTTAGTATAAAAGAGATCTTAAGATAATAAAAGGCTACTATTTCTATTACTATATAGAAGGAAAATTATTTAAGTATACTATAATAGCTTATACTTAATATTTTAATTAAATTTAAGCTAAGCAAAAAGCACTTTAAGACTATTAAAGCAAGAAGAAGGAATAAATAGACCGGCATGCTGTATGCTAGAAGTATTACTAGCTATAAGAGATTTGCCAAGCTGCAGATCTAGAGTATAAAGGGGATAATTTATATTAATACCTAGATATAGTAATGCCTTTATACTTTAGTGCATTTAGTTAACTAGGCTATACTAAATAGTTTTTAAAGCATTTTAATAAGTTATTTAAAACATGCCAGGAATATATATTATAGCTTAGTAAAGGTATATTTCTAGGCAGTAGTTAATATATAAATGCTAACTATATAGCTACTCTTTTATTAGGAGAATTTAAGTAAGGAGAAGGGAAGGAGAAGTATTACTATTATTTATAGTATATCCTTATAATTATTATAAGAGACTATATATTATCTAGCTAGCGAAATAGAATAAAGTTAAGATAGTAAGTATAAATACTAAAGTGCAGTTAGAAAATAATGCTTTTATTCTCTTAAGGAAAAGTAACTTATAATTATATAAAAAAGCAAAGATCTAACTAGTTACTATATAAAGGTATTAAATAAATATAATTTTAACTATTACTAATAGTTTAAAGGAGAGTTAATATTTGCTTATATATAATATTAACCCTAACCCTAAGGCAAAAGGTGGATTTTTCTTTAAATTAAAAGGTTAAGAGACTAGCAGGAGTTTAAGGGGGCAAGGCAGACCTTATAATAGATAGCGAGGTTTTTATTTTAATTAGAAAGTTAAGGGGGTAGAGGGTAAGTATAGGTTAAGAGATAAGAGGGCTATTAAGTTAGATAGTAATAGTAAGTTAAGGGTAACCCTAACCCTAACCTAATATCGGGTTAGGGTTAAGGGGTAAGGGTAAAGGTAAAGTTAAAAGAAGGAGGGAGAGAAGGGGTTAAGGAAGGTAGGAAGTAAAGCTAAGCTATAAGGTCTAGAGTGACTTAAAGAGGTTAAGGAAGGAGGTTAAAGGAAAAGGAAGGTAACTAACCGCTATATACTTAGAGACTATAATAAGAAGTTTAAAGAGCTATAGCTAAGAGGTTAGGTATAAGGTAAGAGAAGTAGAGGCTAACTTCTAGTATTAGGGGTTTTAGAAGTAAGTTAGAAGGTATAACCTCTAAGGTAAGGGTTATAGGGAGTAAGTAATAGATAGAGAGTAAAGAGTAACTGCTAACTACTAACCTAACTAATAGGCCATTAGTAATTTAGGCCAAACTGCCAACCTCTAAAAATGGCATAGGCTAATAATAATATAGGGAAACCCTATCTAGTAGAGACAGGACAGACAATAGGGAGGCCAAACTACTAACCCTAAACTACTAACCTTATAAGCAGCTAATTACAGACTTAGAGTTAACCCCAAGTCTCTACTTTAGTCCTTAAGGTAAACCAGGATAGGGAAACAAGAAAGCAGAAAAAGCAAAGTAAGAGGAGAGAGATAATAGATAATATAAGAGAGAAAAGAAAAAAAGAGGCTAGGATAGTCTATCTATTTATCTATCTATCTACACTACCTCTCTCTTTTTCTCTTTATCTTATCTTAATTTAGAAAGGCCATAACTAACAAGCTTAATTTATTTAACTATATATATAAGCTAACCGATTAATTATAACTATAATAGCCCAATAGCACCTGCCAGACTTACTACCTAGCAATACTAATAGCAATACCTAGGCAATAAGGAGAAGAATAGATAGGTCAGAAAGAGGAGAGGGTAAAGGAAGGTAGCTTCTTTATAATAAAGAATATTAATTACTAATTTATGCCTTCTATAGCTATGCAGTCTATTTCTATAACCTGGAAGGCTATCTAAAGGATTATTACCTAGATCTTAGCCATCAAGTCCGCAGCAATCTTATCTGCCGTCATAAGGGCCTGCTATTAACACTACTAAAAGAGGGACTAAGAGAGGATTAACTGGCCCAGCATGGCTCGTCTAACCCGGCCAAGCCTATCGAGGGTCTCCCTATCTACTAGGGTTTCGCATACACCTAGCCAGGCTGCAGGTACCTTATACCAAGCTAGAAGTACCTATACATACACTTTAATAATAAGCATAATGCTAAGGCAGCTAAGAGGAAGACCTAGGCAGACCTCTAGGCTGCCATGCATTTATAGACCTTCTTT